GGAGTAGTGATAGATTGTAAGGAAAATCCATTCATCAATATATCATACGACCCTTGATTTTCAAGGCGCCGGAGCACCATCTCTGTTACTCCCTCATCCACCCCATATATCATACGACGGTCGCTCTCTGAGCAACGCGCCGGAGCACTGCCCAAAACCCACCACCAAACGGCCTTGTAGCTCAGGCCGTGAACCTGACGACCGAGATCAGTTCCTTTCTCGGCCACAATCGTTTGATTAAAAGTTGAACTCAAACAGGCGCACCACTTAACCATTTTATCCAAACACATCACTCTTTCGACGCACGGTAGACCGTGCTGGCACGCCCGCGCACAACCGCACCGCATCCAAAAGAAGGACGTCACGTGTTGACGCATATCCCCTTGGCCCGGAGCACCAGGCCGTGAGATTTGCGCAGCCAACAAATATACTAAGCTCGGGAAGCACAGATGATGAGGAGGAGGTGTTAGTTGCATGGAAGGTGAAGGGACATGTGGTTGGGAGCACAATTGGAGCAGTAGCAGAGAGGGCCAGTGAGGCCGAAGTTGAGGGTGGAGCGGCTGGAGATAGGACGACAGCAGCGAGGAAGGGAGTAATGGTGACGGCTGGAGTAAAGGTAGTGTTAGGAGGTGAACTGAAGGATGAAGCGTGAGAAGGGGTGGTGTCATGAGATGAGAAGGGAAAAATGTTTTCATCAAATTGGACATGACGAGAGACAAAAACTCAAAAAGTAGAGAGGTCAAGACATTGGTAAGCACTTTGAGTGGGGGTATAGCCAAGGAAGAGGCAAGGACGTGACCGGGGGAGAAGTTTGTTAGAGTTGTACGGGCGTAACCATGGGAAGCACAAACAGCCAAAGACACACAGCTTAGTGTAATTGGGATCATCACCAAAGAGGGCTTTGTATGGTGAGATGTTATGAAGCACGTGAGTAGGCATCTGATTAATAAGATACACGGCAACTTTAAAGGCATATGACCAATAAGGAAGGGGCATAGAAGCTTGATGAAGGAGAGTTAACCCAGTTTCAACTACATGGAGGTGACGACGTTCAGCGACACCATTATGTTCAGGGATTTGGGGTGGGGTGGGGTGGTTAGGTGAGTGATGCCATGGGTGGCAAGGAAGCTTTTAAGTTTAATGAATTGACCGCCGCCATCAGAATATAGGGTGATGATTTTGGTTTTGAAATAATTCTCAACAAGAGCTTTAACAGTAGTGAAAATAGAGAAGACATCAGACTTACGTTTCACGGGATAAAGCCAAACATATTTGGTAAAATGATCAACAAAAATGATGTAGTAAGAGAAACCATCAATGGAAGAGTACGGGGTAGGGCCCTGAACATCACTATAAAGAAGGTCAAGAGGACCCTTGCTAACAAGGGAAGAAGTTCCAAAAGGGAGCCGATGGCTCTTATTACAATGACACGAAGTGCAAACAGTAGGATCAGAAGGCATAGCAACCGCAGCAACCGAGGAGGAGCGTAAAATTTGAAGGAAGATGCGATGATTAGGATGACCAAGCCGACGATGCTAGAAATGAGAGAGGGGCACCACACCCACCATAGCTTGCAGCAGAGGGCGAGACAAAGGCAACGAGGAAGGCCACTCATATGTATCATCTTTATTCGGGCCGCGAAGTAATGCCACCCCCGTGCTTAGATCCTTGACAAGAAAAAAAAGAAGGAAAAAGTTCAATAGAAGTGTGATTTTGTTTATTAAATTTAGCGATAGAAATTAAATCTTTGTGAATAGAGGGAACACACAAGACATCATTTAAATGAAAGTGTGTGACAGAAATAGAGGGAAGTGGTGTGGAGCCAGTGTGTGTGATGCGTAAACCTTTACCGTTACCAATAATAATATCATCGAGACCATCATATGTAGTGGAAGATAGAAGATTACTGGGGTCAGAAGTAACATGGTGAGAGGCACCCAAGTCTAGAAGCCAAGTAGGCCGAGTCTAGAAGCCAAGTAGGAGCATGCGATGTACGAGTGGTTGAATGATTAGCCACTAGTGGAGTGGAGGACCCAGAGGAAAGATGAGGGCAACGATTGGCACTGTGCCCTTGAGTGTTGCACCACTAACAAAAGCCACGATAGCCTGTGCTAGAACACCGATTGGTGTTTGAGTTGTTGGAGCCTGTGAAGGAACCCGAATAGCCGCGAGAGTGAGAAGGAGGAGGATTGCCATGATGAGAAGTATGGTTAGAGGAGGATGAGTGATCATTGGATGAATTCCATGGACGTGAGCCACAATTGAATGAGCGGGAATTTTGGGCAACATTGGCAGTGACGATAGAGGATGAGTGGACAAAATCATCACGTTGGAGGAGGGCTTCATGTTCAATTAATTTGTCATATAGGTTCTTGAAGGAGATGGAGGTGTCACGGGCACGAATGACAGCAACAATCTCTTTAAAGTCAGGACCCACACCATTGAGGACATGGAGAACGACATCATCATCGAACAAAGGAACATCAATGAGAGAAAGTTCATCAATGATGGCTTTAACAGCCTGCAGAAATTCAACAACAGATTTTGTGTCACGATGCATAAGTGTGAGGCGCTCTTTGAGAGCAAGGACCCGAGCGTGAGCTTTGTTGGCATAAAGTGTAGTCAGCTTGTCCCAAGCTTGCTTGGAAGTTTTGGCATATGCAATGAGAGAGATGACTTGATCAGAGACAGAGGCCAGAATGACATGTAAAAGAAGTTGATCTTGATGAATCCAGAATGTGCGAGTCACAGTAGACGACTCAGCAGGATAGGGAGTTGAGCCATCAACATAACTTATTAAGTCATAACCTAGGAGGAGAGCATTAAACTGAGCCCTCCATGAAAGAAAATTGGAGGTGAGTTTTAGTGGTAACTGGGCAATCGCATTGATCGTAGTGAGGGTTGGAGTCGTGGTGGTGGAGTTGGAGGGTGCAGAGTGGATACTAGATTCATCACCCATGGGAGAAACAGAGAGAGGGATCGGAAAAACAAAACAAAAAAAGTTGCTCGGTGGAGCGTTACTGCTTTGGTACCATATAAAAGGCTGTAATGAATAATATATTTGATTGATTGTTTACAGAAGGAAGATACACCTATTATATACAGGTTGAGATACCTATATTAAGTAAATACAATGGAGTAAATATAGAGAATAAATTACAATAATCTAATAAGGGAAGGTCAACCCATAGAGGATTAGGCTTGATTGGAGTGGTTGACTTCTGATGATAGAGGTGATGTCGTGGATTGGGTTGGGGGAAATCCTTTTTACATAACACTTGAAGAATTAGCACAAAATTCCACCATCAACATATCATAATTAAAATAAGAAACAAGAAAAACACCTTTCAAAACAGTCGGAACATTCTAATGCCGGAATAGGGAATACAGGAAAGCAGCTGGATCCATCTTGGATTTCTAACCTCAAGCCTGATGCATCCAAAACACACCTTCCAAAAGCCTTAACAAATCAACCTACATAACACTTGAAGAATTAACACAAAGTTCTGTCATCAACAAATCATAATTAAGATAAGATACAAGAAAAATACTTTCCAACATATCCTCATCACACTAACAAGGGAGAGTCTTATTCAAACTTGCCGTGGATATTTTACTCCCCATTTCTACAAAATAGAATAAAATAAATCAAACCATTTTAGTTAGAACGCATAAAAATAAGAAAATAATCAGATTCAAATATACTTATAAAAATGAAAATATTACCCGTTTTAATTGATTCATAGAACTCCATCTCCTCAATGCTTGGCACATATTGTAATGAAGATATATCTTTGAACCTTATCCAATTTTGAGAGCAAATCGAAGCCTTAACCATCACAGGAGGCAATGAGCTTTGAAACGAGTCAATCACTCTCCCACTTGTGCTAAAAAAGGACTCCGAAGCTACTGTGGATGTAGGGATTGCAAGCACATCCTTGCAATTGATGCCAAGGTAGGATACTTGAACCCATTTATTTTCCACCACCCTAGTATATCAAACTCATCATCAATTATTTTAAGTGGATCCAACAAGTACCTATCCACTTCATGTGTTATAACCACATTCTCATTCTCTTATTGAATTTTTTTTCCACTTTTCCATCATCGTTTTTCGTTTATGACCTCCAAAAACCAAAGAAGACTCGGTTTCATTGTTAGCACTACCACTCTCATTGGTAGTACTAGTAGCACCCATATTATTACTACTAGGCTTATACACTTCATATACATTCAAAAGAAGTTGTTTCACCTAATTTGTCTTTTGAGCCACCAATCTATCACAAGTAGGATCATTTTCAAATATTTTATCAAAGCTGTGCTTCAAATTGCGAAGCTTGAATTGGGGATCAATCACAACTCCTATCATAAAAAATGGGTTCACTTTATGAAGTTCACCTCAATATTTATCATATTTCTTTTTCATTGATGCTGCTATATCATTTAAAAGCATGTCAATGGTTGTCCGTTCTTAAATAGGAGTTGTAACATTATATTTATACAACTCCCGAATCTCCCCATCTATGACAATCAAGTCATAGAAAGTTGAGTCTAATGTTGGATGCAAAGAAGCTGAAATTTTCAAAGTAACATCATCGAAGGTCTTCAAAAACATCACAAATATCACGGCTTTTTCCCAATCTTCATAACTAGGTGAACCCACCCTCTTATTAGTTTTAGACTTTCCCTTCCCTTTCCCACTCCCTTCATTCTCTCTTCCTCTCATTCTCTTCCTTAAAGTACATTAAGTAAGAAGAATCGGGATCATCTCTCATCCTATCAAAAGCTTTTCAAAATTTCAATGCCTCATCAAGCATCAAATAAATGGAGTTCCACCTAGTGGGCACGTGCATCACCATCAACCCCTTGCACTCTATTTTTTACATTTTGAAGTAACTCAACCGAGAAGGTGAGGACCTCACAAACTTCACCGCATTACGGATTGCCACAACGGAGCTTTCCAATCTCTTCAAACCCTCCTTAACTATCAAGTTGATTATATGAGCACTACACCTCATATGCATGTGAACTACTCCTAACACACTATTCGAATCTTTCCACCCATTTATTTTCTTCCTCACGTAGTCAATTACCTTAGTATTGGTAGCTGCATTATCCGCGGTAATTGTGAGTATCTTCTCGTGTCCCCAATCAATCAAACAATTTTCAAGCAATTTCCCAATGATCTCCCACTTATGACTATCAATTACACAAAAAATTAAGATTCTTTTGTGCATTTTATAGTTAAAATCAACAAAATGGGCAGTCAACACCATGTAATTCACATTTTGAACTGATGTCCAAGTATTGGTTGTAAGGCATATCCTTTGTGAACGAAGGTCAATATTCAATTCCTCCTTCATTTTCATGTACATTTCTAGAAATCTTATTCTAAAAGTTCTACGAGAAGGTGGATTAAATGGTGGGCTTGCAACACTACAAAATTCCCTAAACCCTTCACCCTCCACAAAGCTAAAAGGTGCTTATCTCGAATTATTATCCTAATACAAGCATCTAGACAATCATCCTTGTTAAAATTCCTAGAAGCAAGAGCATTACTCTTGGATGCATCAAATGTGAGTGTTCGTATGTTCTTATCTTTTTGTCTATAAGGGTAATGCAAACATTGTTTGTTTAGATGCTTCCACATGTTGCTAGTCCCATTTTTCTTGGTATCACTAGCATAAGTAGCACTACAATACTTGCACTTAGCCTTTTTTTAACCTCTTTTCTTATAGTCCCATCTACCGCTTTCACATCCAATAACAAATCATACTTTACAAATGGTTCCCACACATCAGTCTCATTCTTACTAGGTTTCCTCTTCTCAGTACTACGTTCTAATGGTGATGGATTTGTTGATGCTATTGTAGGAGGTACAACAGCATCACTACATGTACATAACCATCACTCCTAGGCATTTGAGCCTCAATAGAAGCAGGTTCATATCCATAAACAGATTAAAAATAGATTTAAACACAGTCAATCAAAGTTTTCCTATCCATAAACAAATTAAAAACATATATCCTATAAAAAAAAACATATTAAAAACACATATCCTATCAACAAAACAGATTAAAAATATATATTCTAATAAAAAAACAGATTAAAATCACATATCCTATCAACAAAACATATTACAAACATATTAAACACACTCAAAACAAAACAAAAATAGGGTTAGCAACAGATATTTACCTCCATTGAAGCCAAATTTTTGAAACCTTTAAAGCTCAGCAGCAGAGATGCTAAACAATTGCAAATCAAAACAAAAATAGGGTTAGGTTACAAACAAGCTTCTTTAGGCCATCTCCAACCCAAGGACCTAAACCCAAAATATCCCAAATTATTGCCTCAAACCTCTCCCAACCCAAGAAAATGAAGGGGCTAAAATTTGGGAAAACTCAAATTTGGACCCAAATACCAGTCCACTTATTGCCTGGACCAAAAACTATTTAGTGGAGCCTACGCTGAGGTGGCACAGCCCATGTGCATCAGAAAAACAGTGGGCCCGCGCTGGGCCCAGCTCTTGTGGCTTTGTCTGCTGGCCATCCCACGTGTCTGCTCATGGTCAATTGGCCGTTGCAATTCAAATGCCTTTTAAAAAAATAAAATAAAAAATCATGCAAGTAAGGTGGCGTTTGGGAGTGCGGTGCTTAAAAAATAAGCAGCTTTAAAGATAATTTTTGCAACTGAAAGTGTTTGGTGAAAGAAATAAAGTCAGCTTATATTAAAATCTCAGGTCATTTAAAGCAGTTTTTCAAAGTAGGTTGGACCCAGCTTCTCAAAGCTGCTTTTAAAAAAAACAGCCGATTCCTTTTAATGATATTTTCATTTTTCCCATAACACCCTTACTACTTTTCCAAAATGACAGCCCATATCCCTCCCATTCCAAAATGGGTTTCGTCTCCCCTCAGCACCCATCACACTCTTCTTCTTCCTTCTCATTGCAAGTTGGGCTAGTTATTGCTAGCCATAATAACAGCTGCAATTTCACCAGCAATCGGTTTGAATTAAATTGATTTTCATGTGTTGATTCGTAAATTTCAATAAATTGAATAAAAATAGAGTAAAAAACCCTAAGATTTGTATTTGGGCAATGGGTATGGCTTGGTGGATCTGGGCAGTGGGTAAGGCTTGGTGGATTTGGCCGGCGTGGGGGTTCAAGTAGAGAGACGGTGGAGGCTTGGAGAGAGAGAGAGAGAGAGAGAGAGAGGTAGTGGTTGGGTGAGGTTTGTTCTGTGGGACTGGCGTGAGGGAAGGGGTTGGGTGTGGTGATATGGTATCGAGGTCAGGTGGGGTTGTTGGAGGGGCCTGGTGATTGTCTGCGACAGGGGGATTGGTTCCTAACAGGGAAGGAGAGGAGGGAGGGGGTGAGAGTTTGTGGTGGTGATGGGGTAAGGGCTGCGAAGAAAAGATGGGAAGAGCTGCTGTGCTGCTGAGAGGTTTTTCTTTTTTCTTTTTTTTTTTTTTTTTTTTGGGTAGGAACGTTTTTGTGTTTTTTACCTATTTTAAATTTTT